CGAATTGCAAAATGTCCAAATCAGTTTTTTCATATTTCTGGAAGAGCTATAGTATCACATCCTGAAGTCCTGCGCATCTATTCTGAAACACTCTGTATAGTTTGTTAATGTTTTCTCAAGCAATTTTTCACTTATTCAGCATTGAATCAAAATTGCATTACATTTAGATGGCTGTGGACACAAGAGAAATGTCATGGAAACAAAACAACAATTTTTTGACATCAGAGTCAGATTTTTTACTAAAATGGGTTATTCCGTAGAGGAAAAATACGAAATTGTAAGCTTATATTATGAAAATATTGCAAAAATGTCAGTAGTGCAGCAGGAATTTAATCTAAAACGGAACATTAGCAACCTATATATTTGAGAAAAGAAGAAAAATATCTTTCACAACAGTTGAAAATATATAGGGTGTTCCATCTAAAAAAACTGATTTGGAGCCTTTTTTTTAATTCTGCGAATCACATTTGTGATAGTATAAAGGAAGCTCTCTGTAACATTCATATTTGAAGTGTTTTTCAACTTCTTATAGTTGAAGGTAGGGGTCAAAATATAAGGAGACGGAATACAATTTAATACCAAGACTGAATGAATAACGAAAATAGTATATATTATTATTCTAACGAACCCTGTATATTGATATTATCAAAATACCTTCGGTTGCACCTGTCAGGCAGGCTAGGAATTGAAAAAACCAATGCACAAGCACAATGCTACTAAATGCCATTGAGCGTGATTGATAATGGGTCTTGTCCCCTCTCTGAATCCACTAGTGATGCCAGTGGCGTTTCAAAACAGATTTTAAAGGTTCGCAAGACCGAAACTACGGCTAAAACTAATCAACGAAAAACACTGGGAATTACCGACACAAATTAATTTGTGGACTGAACTCGAATTCAGTCAAGAATGAAAAAGCTGATGGATGAAAATGACTGACGCGTGGTTATATTGCACTTTTGCAGATGATAAATCTGACAGTATAGACCACTTTAATTCAATTGTCGATAGATATTCTGCACAACCTATAATAAAAATCCAAAATTTCAGGCAGCTCTTACTGAATAGTGCTATTTATGGAATATCTCCAAAATTATGTGGTTTGGGTAGGTATAGGAAAGTTTGTTAGAACTAAGGATGAACTTTGTGAAATAAGTGATTTATGAGAAGAACAAAAAAAAACAAAGATGACGTTACTTCCGGAAAAACCGGAAGCTTCACAATAACGAAAATATTGTATTTTACTTGATTATTTGGGATTTTCTCTCCTCATTTCTATGGAATAAGAATATGAGTATTATTTCAATATATTATGTGTAGTAGAGCCTAAAAGAAAAATCCAATAGCTTGTCAGTGACATTTTTTTTTGAAACATGTTTGACAGGAAGAAATATAGATCGAATTTTTACTTATCTTTGAACGTTTCGAGAACGAATCTGTTCCCGTTCTCAACATTAAATGCAAAAATATTCGTCTTCTAAAGTTGTGTTCATATAGTTTGACACTTCTCAGTGACATACATATTTTAGTTGGATTCTCTATGTTTTCCTCACTGTCACTACCGATTTTCAGAATCATGGTACAGTCGTCTTCAGAGATCATGTCGCACATGGACGGTGTCAGCTCCCTTAATCGCCGCTGCAATAAGAGCGCTCATACCGTCCAACCGCGACATGTTCGCTGAAGACGAGTGTACGTTTAGTTCTCCATATACAAGGTGTCTCAAAACTCAACGTCATCCTTTGGAGGTCTGTTATTCCAGTTCATGACTGACCAGAATATGACCTCAGTAAAATATTGAAAGTTTTGGAGATATTGGCAATTTTATAAATTTCGTGAAAATCGAATCCTTTGATCAGTATTTTGAGTGCCGCAGGTATTGAACTTCATAGTTTAATATTCTAATTCTTACCCTTCAATTGATCACAATCCAGAATAAAAACATGTTTGCCCGATTCCTGAGGTGGTTAGTCATGAGCTGGACTAATCAGCCCTCCAAAGGACACCGTTGAGTTTTGGGACACCATGTATAATAGATCGTGTCAACTCATGATGATATATACCCTATATGCATTGATTGGTATACGGAATATATTGGACAAAAACGTCGGAATATAAGAACGCGGTTGAAAGAACATTTTGCTCATTTGTAGACATAAGAATAAATTGTTCCTATACCTATCACTCGAATTCGATCATCATCATTATCTCAAATAATCTATGTTCGTCAACTATGGATAGACTCGATTACTCGCTAGAATCCTTTTGGTAAGAACGAAAGTTGTACAGTACTCCCATCATGAAAAGTAGCGCCGCCCATGAGAGGGCTTCCTAGCAAGTCGAATTCACAAGTTCTCACAGCTGTCTGCAAGCCCAACACAACACACTACACAGATCAGATAGTTGACCGAGAGACCGAGTGCGAGTGCATTTTCAGTTTGTCCTCTCTTTGTGGAATACGCCTTTCTAAACGATATGCTATCTCGGAACTCGGTTCGTTTGTGCGTGATCTGGTGTATTTAAAAATAACACAGAGTAAACAAATTGAGCGTCGTATCCAGTGTAAATCGATAGTGCAAGAAGTGCAACAGATTACTAGCCATAACTTCCTACATAACATGCCATGGAATGAAGCAAGAAACAGGAATCAATTCAGCCTTGACAACCGTACATTGTTTTGTTGATGTTGGCATCTCTCTCGGGTGCGAGATATACAGGAAACAAATTATAAGGAACCTATAATAGGTATTTGTAGGTGAGTAATTTGTGCTGATACCTATATGGAATTCGATTTGCTGTTTGCTTTTATTGTGTGTCACTTTCTCACTTTCACTTAACAGTTACAGTTATTTTTATTTCCTTGTTAGAAAATGCCCATAAGACAGTTTGGTAGGTATCTAGGCCATTCGACACGGTTAGCATTTTGGTTTAAGTAAATGAATCGAAATTGAATATAGTATACAGTGATGAAACACTTGAGAAAATAGGAAGACGATTGTCGGAATTTGGTCAATAAGCTATTTTGGTTGCAACAGTCATGATAATTCCAAATAATTCAGATACGGTAATAGATTGTTTGGGAGATTCGTACACATATATGTGTCTAGGTGAATCAGTTGAATCATAGTTTCATACATATCAGTTAGTATAGCAGAAGAATTAATATGTGGTGCTTTAAGGCATAGCGATAACAAGAACAATCGAATTCTAGCATTCCATTTCTATTCAAATTATAAATAACTACCTATCTAACTACATCATAATATTATTAATAATTAATGACTATATTTGGAGCAGAGCAAATTAAACACTCTTGAGAAATCTACATATTTGTGATCAATGCTGAACCTGCTTCCTGTTCAGCATTGAACACAAGTGAATTTAATGATTGATTAACCATTGCTTCAGCAATTAATGTATGTAGATAAGGCAGCTTCACTCCGATAGGTATACAGTTTCTGAATGATTTAATTATTCTGACGTTAATTTGCAAACTGGTGTATTACAAACTGTCCTTTCGATTTGACCTGACATCTTATAGAGTCCGACCACGATAACTTTGGGACAGCACGTGGTCGCGTATGCATTGAATATGCATATGCGTTGCGTCACATGCTGTCCCAAAGTTAACGTGGTCGGACTCTAGTAGGTCAGGTCTAAGAGCACCTATTCCCTAGTGACACTTTTGACATATTTTCTCCAGGTGTTTCTGTTAAAAGCAAATGTAATTCTTTGCCGAGTTCGCTGCTATAGCACTGTCTATGACGCAACTATCTGTTTCAGAACAAGAAACTTGGTACAGTCTCCAAGCAATCAGAATCGGACAAACCTATGGAACAACGAGAACGTATAATCTAGATCGACCGATAATCCCAAACACAACCATGATCACCTTCTTCGTGAAGTACCTCATATGCGGCTTCAACTTCCTCATTTTCCTCACCGGCACTGCCATTCTGGGCACGGGAATATGGCTGGCCATAGACAGAAACTCCTTCATCGGCCTCCTCACCATAGTTCCCCAAGAGCAAATCCAAGAATTCACTAGACCAGGCGTGCTAGCCCAAATCTCCTACGTCCTAATGGCCATCGGCGCTGCGATGTTCCTGCTGAGCTTCCTCGGGTACTGCGGAGCCTTGCGGGAGTCCCAGTGCATGCTCACCACTTACGGCATCCTCCTGATAGTGATACTGGTCCTAGAGATAGCCGCCTGCTCCCTGGCAGTTATCTACAGAACCAGTGCGGAGGATGAGCTCAAAAGGGCCTTCAAGCTCTCTATCTCGAAGTACTACTTCCAGGAGGAGAAGGGCGATGCCGTGACCTTGGCCTGGGACCAACTGCAGACTAGCTTGCACTGCTGCGGGGTGGATGACTACAAGGACTATCAGAAAAACGAGAAGTGGGCTAAGGGGGATAACGTTGTCCCGGAGTCCTGTTGCGTGTTGGGTGAGGATTCGAAACTGTTGGCGCCTACGTGTGCTAGTGCCCCCAGCGAGGCTAATTCGTACTATCTGAAAGGATGTTTTCAGGCTGTGAACGATTGGGCGTTGGACCACTTGAATTTGTTGATTTTCATAGCGCTCGCTTTCGGGTTAGTAGAGGTTTTGGGGGTGTTTTTGGCATTCTGTTTGGTGCAGTCTATCAACAGAGTACAAATGGTGAAGTGAGGTGTGACGAGAACGAAGACCATAGACTAATTATCCGAAGGGGAAGCCAAAGCTCATACATAAAACTATATTTGTTTTGTCCCAATGACTCCGTGAGGATGAAACTCCTTCATAGGCCTTATCTCTATAGTCTGCCAAGAACAAATCCAATACTTCAAAAGACCAAGCGTGATGGCCTAATTCTAATACGTTCTTATAGCCATCGGTGCTGCGACGCTCCTGCTTAGCTTCCTGGGGTGATGTGGAGCCCTGCGGGAGTCCCAATGCTTGCTTACGGACTACGGTATTCTCCTGATAGTGATACTAGTCCTGGAGACAGCAGCCTGCTGCCTGGCAATGATCTACAGAGCCAGTGTGGAGAAGGAGCTCAAAAAAGCATTCAAGCTCGACATTTCGAAGTACTACTTCCAGGAGGAGAAGGGCGATGCCGTGACCTTGGCCTGGGACCAACTGCAGACTAGCTTGCACTGCTGCGGAGTGGATGACTATAAGGACTATCAGAAGAACGAGAAGTGGGCTAAGGGGGATAACGTTGTCCCGGAGTCCTGTTGCGTGTTGGGTGAGGATTCGAAACTGTTGGAGCCTACGTGTACTAGTGCTCCCAGCGAGGCTAATTCGTACTATCTGAAAGGATGTTTTCAGGCTGTGAACGATTGGGCGTTGGACCACTTGAATTTGTTGATTTTCATAGCGCTCGCTTTCGGGTTAGTAGAGGTTTTGGGGGTGTTTTTGGCATTCTGTTTGGTGCAGTCTATCAACAGAGTACAAATGGTGAAGTGAGGTGGGAGGAGGACGAAGATCATAAACTTATTATCCGAAGAAGAAGCCACAGCACACACATAAAACTATATTTGTTTTGTCCCAATGACTCCGTGAGGATGGAACTCCTCTTCATATGCCTCCTCTCCATAGTCCTTCAAGAACAAATCCAGGACTCCAAAAGAGCAAGCGTGTTGGCCCAAATCTCCTACGTCCTAATGGCCATCGGCGCTGCGATGTTCCTGCTGAGCTTCCTGGGGTACTGCGGAGCCTTGCGGGAGTCCCAATGCATGCTCACCACTTACGGCATCCTCCTGATAGTGATACTAGTTCTGGAGATAGCCGCCTGCTACCTGGCTGTGTTCTACAGAGCCAGTGTGGAGAAGCAGCTCAAAGAAGCATTCAGGCTCGTCATTTCGAAGTACTACTTGGGGATAACGTTGTCCCGAAGTCCTGTCGCGTGTTGGGTGAGGATTTCGGAACTGTTGATGGCGTCTACGTGTATTAGTGCCCACAGCGAGGCTAATTCATACTATCTGAAAGGGTGTTTTCAGGCTGTGAACGATTGGACGTTGGACCATTCAAATTTGTTGATTTTCAGAGTGCTCGCTTTCGGGTTAGAGGTTTTGGGGGTGTTTTTGGCATTCTGTTTGGTGCAGTCTATCAACAGGGTACAAATGGCGAAGCGAGGTGGGACGAGGACGAAGACCATAAACTTATTAGCCGAAGGAGAAACTATATTTGTTTTGCCCTAATGATTCCGCGAGAATGACAAGAACTATCTTTTTGTCAAAAGTGGTATACTCACTTCCTGTTGGCATCGCCGAAATATGATTATTCGGATATGGTAAACAAATAGGTATTCGAACTGTGCAAGGAAACAATCGATAATTGTTTTGTTTCACGTTTATCGAATTCTTGTTAATCCGGAAATGGACTTTTTACTGACTTCTTCCTGAGTCGATTGGGTATTGGGAAGCGAGGTGGGAAGAAAACATTGAGAACTGAATATCAAGAAAATATACTTGGTGGTTCGTTTGTTAGGAGCCTATAAATAATTGAGCAAAATCGATAAAACACCTTGAAGACAGTATTGGTGAAATTAAAGATGTATTAATAATCACCTCGCTCACCCCTATCTATTGTTAACGTATTTGCGATTCCCAATGAAACACGCTGTATAGCTTTCGATAGCAGTTTACTTGTACATAATATACGTGTGCTTCTTTATATTTGTTGTCTGTTGTGTGCAATGAACTGAATTTAAACACCGTTGTGTGTTTTGAAGATATGATTTGTCGAGAATTGACATAATTTCCATGCTTGACATATTAAGGTTGCGTAAATTATGTATAATCACCAAATTATTAGAATATATCAATATTTTTGCTTTGCTACGATCTCAAAGTAAGTATTATTCCTAGTCTACAAATAAATTGTTGTTCAGATACTTATCTAAAATTCCTCCCTATAAATACTAAACCATCTGATCAAAAAATAACATTTGGTTGGTTGTTCTGGTTCGAAATAAAATATTGTATTTTTGATATGTATACGGTTTATACAGAAATATAGTTTGATCGATTCCAATAAAGGTACACCTACAGTGTAATGTACAGGGTGTGTATTATTGACTTTTGTTCTCATTCCGGAAAAGAATGACTTCGATATGAGATTATAAACTTTGATATGTCGCTGATTTCATGAAAAATACCCGAATAAATATAAAAAATGTGTACCACTTCGTATAGTGTTATCCAAACCAATGAATTTTTTGAAATTATTTGAAATCAGACTTGAAATGGCGAATTCATAGCTTTTGGCGATGTCAGCATACCTCTCGGCATACCTACTATGTGGATGTCTATCGATAGATAATTGACACACAATTTTATGAATCCAAATATAAAATTAGTTTAGAACCAGCATCACCAAATAAACCTTGTGATCACATTCTGAAATCGTTCGATGAAGCGGTTGATTATTTACAGGGGGAGGCTGTTTAAATGAGTACGGTGTATACATAATGTATTTATATTTTTTGCTATTGCTTTGTAAAATATGATATTTTTTAGTAATGTAATACAATTTCAAACCAATATTCTGTATCAGTTTATTTGAAAAAAAAAATCGAGAAATTTGGGCATTCCTATGTACGAGAGTGTAAAAAGCTATAACAATCTATTTATTTTTCATCAGAATCTAAGAATCGAAATATATTTCATTTCTTGAATTATGATTTTTCGCAAAATTCTAAAATATAAGATTTTTCATCTCGAAGTTATGAGAGAGCCTTGACATTTTTTTTCAAAAATTTTGCGATTTCTTCCTCAGATTCCTTCTCTAAGGTCAATTTTTCACTCTGATTTTCTCACAGAAAGAAGGTTGAGATCTTGGTTGAAATAAGGAAAAAAAATAGCTTTATACACATTGACATGCATACCTTAGGAAGGAAGCAATATAGAGAATATACATGGGATATAGGAATCAATAAACATCAAAAAATCAAAAACATTAAATTCTTCAACTTTTGATTTTTTCCACTACTAACAATATAGGTTGGCATAAGAGATAAAGAATGTCTATACACATTGACTAACATACCTCAGGAGGACAGCAATAGGAGACATAAGATTGAGGAAAATAATCTAAATGGATCAATTATTTACCTTGATTCTTTTACAGAAAATAGATTGAGGTGTGAGAAAAGTAATGGCTTTATACATATGTTGCCTTATATACTTTAGGAGGAAAGCAATAGGGAATTTATTTTGAATAATGACTTACATACTTTAGGAGGAAATCAATAGGGGATATATTAATTGAAAAAAAAACCGGAAATAATGAATACTTGAAATGTTATATAATCATTGATTCACATACGTCAGTAGGGAAGCACTAGGAAAAAATATATGAATTATTATAAAACATTAAAAACAAAAAAATAAAATGAACTAAGTATATTTGTTTTGGATCAAGAAGAACTGTTTAAGAACGACTATTAGATTTTTTTGCATCATTGGACATAATTGTTTAACTGACCTATTCAATATGTTTTAATAAACACTCTAGTCTTTCCTATCTATTATTAGTTATCAACTGTTATAAATTTTGATTAAAAAATATTGAAATTTTGAGAAACATTTCAAAACATTGAGATTCTTATCAAAAATAAATATATAAAGTATCGCGCTTCTACGACGTCGTACCTATATTATCATGAAGAACCAATCGAAATTGTGAATAATAATCCTCTCCTGAATCAGGTTAGAATATAACTCTGTAATTATGCTACATTGAAAAATATCGGATTTCGATTCTCCTGTTTGAATCCACCATTAAAATCCGTCGTGATATCTCCCTATAACATTTTTGTTCGCATCTCGCTCTAGTAGAATAGTAGAACTAGCTGCGGAATCCCACCAATTTATTACAACCCTTGCAGTGACATTAAATACAAGCGGCATACACAAGTAATTAACTTAGTGGTTGTTAATTGTTGTGGTGGTGCTGGAGAGAAACGAGTCCTTTGTTTAGTCCGGGAACACTGAGAGAGCGGAGAGGACATTAGGAAATACTCCGGCGTACGACAGTGACTGGTACAATAAATGGAGGGGAGGGGAAGTATTCAACTAACTAGATTTACCAAGATGGCATTCGAAAACAGACATAGTTGACATTATTTTTTTTAATGAATACTTAGCTGTTTATATCAAAGAAAAAACAGTAAAACACAAAGTCGGTCGACCACAAAAATAATATTAACAAATCACGTTTGTGACTAGTTTCGGCTCAACGGCCATCTTCAGACACAGAAATATCTGTGAAGATTAGCCATCCTACGGACTCGTAATTTTCTCAGATGCAGTTTTTTTCGTCAAAAAATTCTTATGATACATGTCAAGTTTACTTCGACAAAAAAGGCTCTCGTGTAATTATAAGTGAGGAAAAAACGTGTTTATCCCAATTTCACGTATATATCTTTCGATTTGTACGTAATATTGTGTGTGATATTAAAGAAAATTAACACCGAGAAAACTATCTCATACTAGTAGCTTTATCATGCTACTAACTTTCAATCACTAATCATTAATTATCAAAATATCAATTTATTCAGAAAATAATAATCACCTCTTAACATTTTTGTTATATTTGATGCAAAGTTACTGTATCGTCTAGAATTCTATTTAAATTGATTTTCTCAGTTTTAAAATGATGCTAAAGTCGCATCTATCAATATATCATCAAACTACTTTACGTATCCAACCAAAGTTTAGCACAGTTTTGTCGAAGTAACAATAATTATTAGAAGAAATCGAGAGGTATTAAGAACTAAAAGTGCATCCCAAAAACTTGGTTTCCTGTTCCGGGCCAGGAGCTATTTCACTTCCAGTCATGATCTATAAGGCATAGATCCGACCTGTCCTGGAATACTGTTCCCATATTTGGAGTGCAGCACCCAAACATACCCTGAAACTGTTGGATTATGTCCTAAAAAGGGCAATTTGTCTCCTGGGTGATGCCTCACTCACTTCTCTGGAACACCGTAGAAAAGTTGGCGATCTGGCTCTATTTTATAGATATTTCCATGGACGATGCTCTTCTGAAATATCAACAATGGTTCCTCCCTTGGCAGTCCCCGCGAGATTCACCCGTCGAGTTGAGGCTTCGCACCCCTTCGTGGTCACTTTGGAGACCTGCAGAACATCTCTTTCCAAAGACTCGTTCATCCAACGAACAGCGAGGCTCTGAAACACATTGCCAAGAAAGGTATGTTCCCCGAGGCATAAATAACCTGCAGAAATTTAAGAACACCAATTCCTACCTTATTTCCCTTGATTCTTACGATGTTCTCTGAACATTACAGGATATCCTTTTTTGTGAGAACCAGAACATTAAATAAATAGAACGTTCAAATTCGAAAAACATTTGTGGAATTAGAATATAAACAACTTTTCTCAGTGAAGTCAAAATTCTAACAAATAAGCCTATTTTCAGTGGATAATTTGAAAAAAATGTGATTTCTGGTATGTAGCGGAAGGCACGTGACTGCGACAGAATGGGCAATTTTTTCGAAGCAGTCGAATTGGCCCCCGCGATCAGTTCACCCACCTTAATGACAGGTATATTGGCTCCCGAAAATTATCTCGATTATCCAAAAGCGATATCATCACTGAACTAATATTGTCATGTAGTAAGTCAATTTTTCATCCATCTGAATTCGAACATAATTATTTTTAATAAAATAACATTCATTTCAAACCCAATGTATTGCATGACAGTCATACCTAGACAGGAACTAAAGTTTCCTATTATACAACTGATATTTCTATAACCTGTATGAACTCAGATTGAACGTAAAATACATTGATTCTAAAACTGCTGAGATATATAAATTAATATACCATCAGAGAGGGAAATATTGGTTGGAGTAGTTTGATTATGAAAAATAGGAAGTCAGTCTACTTCGGGCGTAGAGCAGGAAAGATTCCCTGAGTCCATTGAAGATGGTTCCCCTGGTATCCAAATTGTGAGTAGGTACTGTTATGATTGTTTTAGTGAATAAACATGTTTCTTACATGTTTTTGAATAATCTCTTCATTTCTTTGTGTTCCA